GCAGGGGGGGGGGGGGGGGGGGGGGGGGGGGGTGGGGGACAACTGTAACAATGATAATAATAATAATAATAAATAATAATAATAATAGGCTTTTATATAGTGCACTATACAACTAATTCTCAGAGCGCTTTCCACATTATTACTCCAGTCATTGGAATGATGTCTATGGGGAAATACCATAGTTTGCTGCATGAAATATTTCAGCGCATTTTTCACTGGAACCGCCTCAGGTACCCATTTATACTCCTGGGTGGAGAGAAGCAATGCAGATAAATGCCTTGCTCAAGGACACAAGTGAAATGCACAGCAAAGGATTGAAACCCTGTCCTCGAGGTTGGGAAACCAAACCATTCCCACTGCGCCTACCCGCTTCTACAAAAACAGGAGAGACTTATGTTTTTGTGATCAAAAGGACTCCAGTTGGTATTTCTTCCAATGAATGTTGATTTATATTTTTACTTGCAGGGTGGACGAACACCAATTTATTTTGTACTAGGTTCAGATGTTACTGATGTCCTTCTCAAAGGCGGTGCCGACATTAATATTACAGATAATGTAAGTAAATTTTAGAGTTTTCAAAATCACTTATGACTTAGAGGCCAGTTATATTAGCAAATATTTCTAAATGTTTTCTTGTGTATAATTATGCTTACATAATTTAAAGTTTTAAGTAGGGGAACTAAGTCGGTAAATTGAAACATTGTGATTTTGAAACTGTATTTATACTTAAAAAAGAGGAATCTGCGAGTGTGAAAAAGTAGGTTCCCCAAACGGAATTTGAACCCGGGACCTTCTGCTGTCTCTGCACACGCCTTAAACAACTGGCCATTGTGGCTTTGTTGGGAATTTAAATCCGAATAAGACATCTAATGCTTCACACTCATGCACATGCATAGTTATGACAGCATTATTCATTGATGTATACATACATAACTTACATGCATACATGCATGCATGCATGCATACATACATACATATATTTCATATATGTTTATATATATATATATATATATATATATACTGTCTCTTATACTCATCTAGATGTGTAT